GACCGGATCCCTGCAATTCATTGCTTTATTTCGGAATCTTTTCACGAAGTTTTCGACTGTCTCACCATTCTTCTGCTTCTCATCAAATAGAGTGCTAATTGAGATCTCGGTGTCATCGTCGAAGAAGTTCATTAGAAACATATCCTCCATGTCGTCCCAACTGCTGATACTCCCCGGCTTGAGGAACATATCCTCCATGTCGTCCCAACTGCTGATACTCCCCGGCTTGAGGCGATGATACCAATCGAAGGCTACTCCGCGAAGAGTGCCCACGAATGACCACACCATTAAGGGTTCATTACCGAAGATTATTCCTAAGTGAGACTTAAAATATATCAAGTGTTGGGTAGGGGAACCCTTTCCATCAAACGGCGTAAAGTTGATTAAATTGAACTTTGCCGGATATGGAATTGATTCTCACTCCCTTGGGTATGGACATGGTATGCCGGACCTCTTCACTTCTTGAGCATTCATCAACGCGTTGATTTTGCTCTCCAAGTCCTTCATCTTCTTGTCTTCACTCGTACCTGTCTTCGAGTGGCTCCTTCGCATTATCATCCGAGGGACCGCCTCCGTTATTATTGTTGACAGGAGGGATAGTTATGTTGACATTATCCTCTTCCCGTTCATTCTTCTCTTGATTCGGATTATTGCGATGACTGGGTTCTCCTTGGTGAGTTGTCAGTGCCGCGATTTGCTGGTCATGCATCTCTCTCATCTGCTGCATGGCCATCTCCATCTCGAACTTGAAAGCTTCCTTCTGCTTAGTCAAGGCATCTTCAAGCATCTTGGTTACTTGTTCGGTACTAATCATAAGCGACTCATAGGGCTGTCCCGTACTAGATGCTGTGCCGTCGGATGCTATAGCCGAGCAGGAATCTGAACCATCATCTGACACCTCTTCTTCCAAAGGAAGTCCCTTTTGCATCCTGTGGTAATTCCTTCGCCTATTAGTCCCCGATCGCAATCGAGTCATACGCTGGGACATTTCGGCAAACTGATCTGGGCTAAAGCGTCGTGTCGATTTGCCTCTGCCGGTCATATTAATAGACACTTCTAGGAATTCGTCCTCTTGGCGAACGAACTTCTTCCCACGAAAATCAGTTTGATAACTGGAGCAACCCATAGAGTGTTGGCATGACTTCCCAGGTATAACACAATCATCATCAGACGAATGTGTTTCCCTCTGGGGATATGGCGCTTTATTAGCGTTTTCAAAAGTCGCTCGTTCAAGTCTACGCTTTTGCGAGCGTGAAAACTTAACGGGCTCTTGAACTTCGACACGTAATCCAATGCGGTCGGTAACATGGGCTTTCCCTTTGTTATCTTTCTTGGGGGGATTAGCACGACCCCCAGTCTGGTTTGTTGTTTGGGGACCTTTCAACGGTCCCAATCGCTCCTTGACAGGTGCCTTACCTCGATCTTCTGATAAAGGGCCGAGGCGACCTCTCAAAGGAACCCTGGATCTTGAAGAATCCACGTTCTTACCTGGCTCCGCCGAAGGTGTGGGAGCAGGGGAAACGGGATCTGGATTTGAAGAAGGCTGGACGCTACTTCCGTCCACTTTTGTCTTAGGCGCCGGCTTCGCCTTTGGCACCCACACCTGCTTGTGTTTTGACAGCTTCTTGACCGTCTCTTCTTTCTGCATCTCTTCCGCTTTCTGCAGAAGGACTCGGGCATGCGCAAGCAATGCGCGGCGTTTCTTGATTCGCTCTTCGAGGGTTGAGCGAGTCCTCTTGACACGAACCCATTCGTTCGTTTCTGTCTTGGAGGAGGAGTGGGTCGTTCGCCGTTGTTGCTCTTGGCGCTGTCTGGACTTGAGATCCTCATTGTAGCTGATCCCGTCCATCGATTCTACGGCCTTGGCCAGTTGTCGCGCAAGGCGCTGACACCGTCTCTGGCGCGCCCTCTTTGACAAGGTTGGAACACCTTCAGCAGTTGACTTCGCGGCGGAAGGGAGATCTGGATCTGTAGCTTCGACTACGTTAGACGCCATAGGAGCGTCGCGGGGAGTAGGTGCAATAACGGTGAGGGGATCTCGGATCTTCGATCCTGAGGGCCCGCGAGCACTCTTGGAAGATGAAATCTTCCTGCGCCTGTTTGGAGAGGCGGATCTGGAGGAGGAGGAAGAGAGGTACTCTTCAAACTTCTGTTGATCGAACTCGTATTCGATCTCTTCGTTCACCCGGATCTTGAAGGCCGGTTGCGTCCCGACGGCCTCGGCAACGGGGCCGTTGGCTCCCACTGTGGTTGCCAGTTTGTTTTCGTCAAAAGTTGCCTTCATCATTGATTTCATTAAACTTCAAACGTTACAAATGAAATTCAAACAACAAAATAATAAAGATTACAACTTTCTTGAAAATAAACACAAGATCTGTTCGTCGTCTCTTGCTTGCGTAGGTCTATAGCCTGTGACGGGGACGTCGATATCTGTGGACTACCTGGCAATCAGATCTGGTCCAGAGCTTCGTCGATCCGTGAGGAGATCTAGAAATTTGAAGCGCCTATCTCGATAAAAGCGAGATATTTGCTCTTCTTAGTATTACCACAACGGGATAAGACTAAGGATCGGGTACAGGTGATGTAGATCTGACGAAGAAACTCTCTTGCGTTGAAGTGCTCGATCACTCTTCACTCCGGCAGGGCTTCGCCAATTCTCCAAAATTCCAGATCTGAAAAAATAAGGGCTTGGGGCTTGTATTTATAGGCATCAGGGGTTGCGGAGCGGTTAAAACCACTTAAAGGGCCCAAATCCGCGCTGAGACACCCCCTAGGGTGTCTCCAACTTGTGCGGACACCCTGGGGTGTCTCCAACTTGTACGGACACCCTGGGGTGTCTCCAACTTGTGCGGACACCCTAGGGTGTCTCAAATTGGGCCGAGACACTCCGTTATGCCTATTTGTCCGCTTCCGCTGTAAATTCTTCGTCCAAACTCGGATTTGAGTGGTTCGAAGTGCGTTGAAAAGCCGACAAGGAGTTCTATCAGCTCCAATGGTTGGATTATCTGTAGAATGAATGAGACACGAAGGGCATTGTTCCCTTTGTAAACATTGCGGGGCTCCCGATTAGCCCGTACCTTCGTTATTCCGAAATTCTGTCAGCTCACGTAGTTCGTCGATTCACTTCAAGCGTTCACTGACGTCAATCGAACTCCTGTGAACCGGATAGTGACGTTCATCATCGTTCCTTAACACTGAGCTGTTTGTGAAGATCTATAGGCAATTTTTAATGCCTACAGGAGTCCTTTCTTGCATTGGTGCCAAGCTCATGGCAGTTGGAGACACTTCAAAGGAGAGGAAACAATGGGGCGACGTGATGGGATGGCAGATTTAGTGGGCCGTTCTTTTCTGGAGGAGGATCGGCGTTGGTTGTCGAGCAGTGGATCTGGTATTCGGGCTTCGACAGGTTTGGGTCATCTTATGAGGTTACCGACTACTGCGTGTAGAGTTGTTAGATCTAGTGGAGCTGCTTCAGATTTTGATCGGCGTCGGATATTTGGCTACCCAGCACTTGGTCACATCGTTGATGTGAGATTGGATCCGATTGCGCGTTTGAGGTTCGGAGGCTCAGTTGATTATCATTTGGGAGCTTCTGAGTTTGGTCTAAGCAGGTTTGTCACTTTGGACTCTCGGCAGGTGGAGAGTATTGATCAGGTCAGAGGGATATCGCAGCGGGTGGAGGTTGATGCTACTCCACATTGGGTGGGGATTTCCCCACGTACTTCAGGTCATTCTGCATTAGTTGGGATTCCAGCTGAGGTGGCACAGCGTGGGAGTCATTTATTTATGGGTGCAGGTGATGAGGTGGTTGATTTGGATGCAGCTGGTGGATATGTTTTGGATACGGCCATTGTTTCATCTCAGGTGGAGGTGTTGGACTGTTTTCAGTTTGGGGCCGTTGATGATGCTATCAGCCGCAGGTTGGATTGAGGGCCGTTGGAGGCCATTGGGTGAACTACGTGAAGGCTTGATTCCTTGGAGAGGATAAGTAGGCAGTCTTTATGATGCAGCCGATTTGGTGAGCGACATCGACATTTGGGGTGAGTGTTTGCACTCCCATTTGGGTCTCAGCAAGTGAGGCATTTGGTGTAGTCGGTGTAGGCTCAGTTGTTTGGTGAGTAGACACAGTTGGTTTGGGGTTGAGTGTTCGCACTCCTGTTTGGGTCTCGATGTGTTGTGGATGGAGTCTGTTGTCATGAGTCCGTTGCCATGGCGTACTGGATGCAACAGTTGAGGCATTGGTTTGTTCGGGTGTCTTGTCTCAGTTTTTGGAAGGAATCTTCGCCGAGGTGGAGGTATTTGAAGCGATGGAGCAGCAGGTTGCAGCTTTTCAGGCCAAACAGGGTGTGGGGTCGGACGGGTCCGATCGAACCGAATTCGTCGGCAACAGAGAGCTACTCGGGTTTGATCAGGGGGCGGTCGACCGCCGCGGTCGGCGCCGATTAACCGAACTCCTCTGAATTCTGGGATCACCGGCTGGAGTGGAGGGCGGTGTCGAGAGCCGAGCGCCGGTCGAGTCGCGCACGGTGGATTGCTGTCCGGACCCACACCGGTCGAGCCGCCGCTCCGCGATTTGAGTTGGGTCTGTTTCAGGACCGTTTCGTTTTGGATTGGTATAAATTACGCTTTTGGCTGTTTTTTAGGGTTAAGAGCAAGGACCGCACCCACTCTCTCGAGATCCGATTGAGAGGTTTTTCTGTTGGAGGTTTCTATCCTAGAGCAAGTTGGAGAGATTGGAGAGTTGATTATGTTGAGGGTTTAAGTGAGAGATTTGTGAAACGCCTAGTTTGTTCTCGTTGGTTTCTAATAGTGAAAACTCCCCCCTCCTTGCCCCGTGGACGTAGGCATCTCGCCGAACCACGTTAAACTGGTGTTGGATTGTTTTTGCTGTTGATTTTGGTTGGTTCTTTATCTTTCTCGGTGATTGTTTTGGTTTCTCGAGGCACAACATGCTATTTAATTGCAGGCATCTGGCATCCAACCAACATGTCAAGAAGAGTAAAACGAACATATATTGTTTTAAACATCCTCATATGAAAAACGAACATATATTGTTTTAAACATCCTCATATGACCATTAAAAATGAAATACTTAAAAAGTTGAATAGACGTACATTTCGACTCACTATATATCTATATATTTGCGCATATATAAGCCATTAGAAGACCACCTTGAGAACTGAATAGCTCGATTACTTTTTATCCACCCCTAGCATTATTATGTACTCCACGTTTAGTCTTAAGAGGCAGGTATCATCAGTATTCCCTTAAAGCTTAGAAGCAGAAATGCCTACAACACCAACCAGCAGGTTAATTAGCTAGTCCTAAAATGTAAGAGACATCATCCAATCCAAAGTTGTCAAATATATACCAAGTTGTTTTGCATTGACAATGCTTGGACAAGCAGCTGGTGGTGGAGAATTCTCATCCAAGAAAACATCAACCCGATTTAAATCAGTCCATATTGGGTATCCCTTGATTTTTCCCTGTATATAAGTGAATATATACAGAGTAAATATTTATTCGATTCTTAAAACAGATGAATTTCATGTAATTTTGATCTTTTTTAAAAGAAATTCTTGTGTACCAGAACATTTAGAGCAGCTAGAGTAGCCATTCCTTCACGCGTCCACTGCAACAATGGAGAAATATGCGATTGAAACTCGATAGAGATATCAATTGCTTTGTGTTAATACTGCTAATATTTTACAAACTGAGTTATCTATTCACCTTGGAAGCAGATGCAATGTGAGGAACGACGACAGCATTTTTCTGGTCAGCAAGTCCTGGTTTCATGTAAGGTTCATCCTGTGGAAAGGCCATTGCTCTTAAATTCAGATTAAACCTTCAGCCCAATTTCTTAGTCAAGGGAAAAAAAAGAAAAAGGGAAAAAAAAATTATACTAAGAACCAGAGGACTGATTACCTCAAACACATCAAGCCCAACTCGGAACATTGGATTCACTTTCAGATGCTCGACCAAGGCAACCTCATCAATGACTGGTCCTCGGCTTGCATTTACAAGGATGGCTTCCTGCAGGTAATCCATTTGGTTTGTTTAACACTTTTTTTTATTTTTTTACTATGAGTATGTAGTTTTACCCAAAACTGGGTAATTGCAGAGCAAAAACCATTACCTTCTTCATGATGGCCAGCCTCTCCTTGTTGATCAAATGGTATGTAGTTTTATCCAAAACTGGGTGAAGACTTATCTGAAAAATATTACAAAACTCTGTAATTTTACAATCTAATCTTAAGGTGAAACTTCTGTTAATATTCAATGTTATTTTGTGTAAATTCGTAGTAAGTAGTCATAATCATAAAATCATTAACCATAGAGTCTAACCACATCAGCTTCTCTGAGGACATCCTCCATGGTTGCAGCTCTCTTCCAAGTTACAGGTTGTTCTCCATTAGCTTTCAGAAACTGGCCGTATGCTGTAACAGATAAAAATAAAAATAAGTTAAATCTCAAGGTCAGCTAGAAGTATGAAATGTTACATAAACAAATGAATGCTCGGAAAAACGAGTGGAAGGGAGAATATGAGAACATGCCTGTAACAAACTTCTCTAGTCTAGTTGCCTGATAGAGATCATAGTATATGAGGTTCATCTTGAATCCCTCAATCTGTCAAAAAGAGAGATTGTACATTTTGCATTGGTTAGAAATTCAACTTGCGACGTGATACATAATTTTGATTCAAATTCACTAAGCGTAATTAATTCAAACGATATACTACTGTTAATTTTTACTGATACATACTATTTTCTTCATGTGCACTTCGTAGAAATGATTTACCATTTTATAACTAATTATTGCTCTTTGCGCTCCAGACTTAAGCTAATGGGATCTGATGATGTAGGTTTGATGTGAAACGCCATGGAAGGGTTTAGATGTAATTTTTTTTAATATTATGTAAACATGAAATCCGTTTCTCATTGCCCTCGCATATGGTATATTTTTGTTATTTTTTAACCTTGAGTACATTTTTTGCTTTTGAATTAAGACAATTCATTGGTTTCTTCCATCATTTTTTTTTTGGAAATCAAAATAAAGGGTAAACTTACCATCATCCGAGCATATGCAGATCCGATTCGCCCTGCTCCAATTACTCCTACTGTCTGTCCCTTGAGTAAGTTTCCGACAAACCTATCAAAATAATGAATGTCCTTAACTCATTTAACAATAAAAAATATTGGTCATCCACATAAACAAAAAACAAAACAAAACAAAACAAAACAAAACAAAAAGGTTTCTGAGATCACACAAATGAGGAAGCCATCCATCATATAACCCAGCTCTCATGAACTGATCTGCTTCAACTATTCGCCTAGATGCTGCCAGAGAAAGTGATGCAGCTAATTCTGCTGTTGTCTCTGTAAGAACTCCCTGATCAAAGAACGTACAAAATTATGAATACCTTCAAACATCTAGTATTCCAACTGCACAGGTATTTTTATTGAAAATATTGTATCGCAACTTACCGGGGTGTTTCCAACGCCTATTCCGTACTTCGTAGCAGCATTCACATCAACATTGTTATAACCAACTGCCATATTACTGAAGGCAGTACCTCCTGCTCTCCTAAGAGCAGAGAAGAGAACCTCCCCCCAGTCTTCTGTCAACTATTCATAGCCAAAAAAATAAGAACTTACAGTAAAAAGTAACAACCAAAATTGATCACAATTGACATTCTAAATCAAAACAGTAACAGGTTCAAATTACCTGACCAATTACTCCGTCACATTTATCACCGATGAGGGCAAGGATGTCGTCCACAGAAAGTATGGTTTTATTCTCAGTGCATATCTGTAGTACAATAGATTCAAGTTAATGGAGAAATACTACATGACATATACAGAAAAGAGAGAAGGAAAATTATTTGCCTCAACGCGACAATCCTGATCAGTCAAGAGTTTGATCCACCGGGTTCCAGGCATGGATTTGGTGCTGATGACTCTGTACTTGCCATTCGGGTTCCATACTTCAATTGATATGGGCTTGGCCATGGAGGGAGAACTTTCACTGAGACACTTGAATTTGCTAAGGGAAACAAGGATATGCAAATGTTTGGCTTGTCTATTTTATTGGCATTTTTTGAGGCAGTGTGTGTTTCGTCAGAGGATAAAGGGTGCTGCACCTGTCACTCATTTGGGCCTCTCGTTTGACAATGAGGAAAGAGGCAAAACAAGATAATGAATAAAAAAATTTCCAAAGTTTGAGAAGAAACTGAAACCACTAGCATCAAATGTGGTCTTCTTCCTGCCTCTATCCAACGGCCTTGTTTGGATACAGACCAGCCATTTTCTTAGTAACCGTATTCACAAAATTCCTTTTCTGCAGTAATTAAGTAATAGCGGAAAAATCATTAGCAAATTGATCAAAATCAGCCAACAACGTCACACTGTACACTTAATTCTTTCTGTTCCGCTTGGTGTTGTATATCCAATACCCACCAAGTCCAGATATGCCTTGAGATTAACTGTAAAATATGATCAAACTCATGAGTCCGAGCGCACCTTGTGCGCTTTGGACGTCATTGAGGACTTCAAAATTCCTGCCGTCATCAACCTCCCAAACACCATATAAATGTTCTTGGATAGTGATATATGCAAATACCTCCTGCGATGTTAACAGAACCGATATGGATGCATCCTGTAGTAAGTGGACAAGGTATAAGAAAGATTTACAGATGTCGCGCGCCTATGCGGAAGCCAGTGGCGGATCTACAACATTTTTTGTGGTGGTTCAAAATATACACTAAATTTTTTTCTCAAATAATAGCAGGTGGGGAAAAAAATGAAGGAAGGGTTATTAAAGAGAAAAACAATCATTTTTAAACAATGATTTGACTTATATATATAAGAAACAAAAATATTTATAGAAGGCCTTAAAGAGGTAGACAGAACAAAGGGATAAAATGAAAGGAAAAGAAGAAGAAGAAGAAGAAGAAGAAGAAGAATAGAGGGGAGGTAAAAGGAAAGAAGCCTAAAAGAAAAATTTTCGAAGGCTGGATGGTTTGAACTCCAGACCTCTTACAAAATGTTACCAACTGCAATACCACTAGGCTATAGAGAACTTTTGTATGAGGTGGTTCAAGTGAACCACTTTGAACAAGGGTGGATCCGCCACTGGCGGAAGCGTTGCACACACACACAACGAACTTGAGATCACGGAAGAAGAAAGCCACACACTTGCACAAACCAAGCCAATTACGAAAAATCAAACCAAACACAGAGATATACGTGGTTCGGCAATTGCCTACGTCCACGGGAAGAGGATGGGGAGATTTCACTATATGGAGGAGAAATATAATGGGTTACAACTCACAAAATCACTCAAATATAACCCTAACCAAAGCTCTCAACTCCCTCACAATATCTCCCTCTCAAAGTGCTCAAAACAATGATAATTCTCTCTTTTTTCTCTCCTTTTGAATCCCTAAAAAACGCGGTCCTATTTATAATAAAACACAATCCCAAACAAAGGAGGATTCCCAAACAAAGGAGGATTCTATAAACGAGTCTGCCACACCCTGCACCATGGGTGTGGCAGAGGGTGTGGTGCAGGACAGATTCTGCCACACCCTGCACCGTGGGTGTGGCAGAGGGTGTGGTGCAGGACAGATTCTACCACACTCATGGCAGACACCACACCAGGGTGCGGTGGAGTCTGTTTTGAGTTATTCTTCACGTTTTTCACAATTCCTTTGCCGTTTTCACAACAGAAATTACAGAGACCATCTTACAAAACGTTTTATTCCCACTTTACACCTGCAAAACTGTAAAACACCGATATGATTGCACAAATCAGATCTTCCTTTAAGCTAAGCCAAGAATGGTTGGTCTACTACAAATTAAATAGGGGTAAAACAGGTCGATACAAGGAGTTTCTAGAGAAAATAATAATGTACAGAAATATACATGGATTACAGAATGAGAAAATAAGTAGAAAATTAAAAGTGACAACTATTTATTTTCTCCCCTGAAAAAGGGAAGAAACTTACAGACGACAAGCAACAAACAAATCTAGAATATTAACCTCAATCAATTTTGGACTGGCATAACACGAATTAAAACTATGTATCTCCCTTTTAACTCCTCATGAAGGGAAAAGGGGACCTTGATTTAGCATTGGTACTCGTTAGCCGCCAGTCATTCACATTCTGTAGTCAATCTAAGAGACCATGAACTGAGAGGATGGCGGGCTTATTTTTGTTTCTTCCATTCCTGCAAGTAGATAATACGAGAAGAATAAATCAAATTAGTTTTATTTTTTGCAGGAGTCACAATTTAATATGTGCTTGGAGTATTGAGGTAATTTTAAGTTCAACATTATAACAACCCTCATATAGCTAATTTAAAGCTGAAGCTGAACATATTCAAGCGAAGAGTAACATCATACCATATGCCCCACGGATCTCTACTTCTCGCCATTCTTGAACCAGGGCACAACAACAACACATAAAATGGGAGAGAAAGTCATCACAGAGCCCTCCCTGCATCAGTCAGCAAGAGATGTTACTGTAATTAACAAGGTTATTACTGCTGTAGAAGAATTCTACTCGGCAAATTTGCTCATGGAACAAAAGCCCACTAATTCAACTATGATCAAGTATAAACTTTTATACATCAATATTCTATCACTCAATTGTTTGTGTAGCAGAAAAGGATTTGCAAGGCTTTGAAAAAAGGGAGATAAGATAAATGAAATAAGCAAAGGTTCAGAATGCGTTATAAAGCTCGAATAATCCAACTAGTTTCTTTAATATTCTTTTTCTAGCCAAAAAAGCTGCTTTAGGAAGACAACGAACAAAAGCAATGTACATGCTCATCAGCCAAATTCATGCATTAATATCGAACCTAAAATCAACAAAGAATTAAGAAAATTGTCCAGATATCAAAACGATAATAGAGAAGTAAAAAATTTGTTTGTTTGGTAAAATTCCATGCTGATGATAATGTTGCATTACAGTGCATGTCAGTGCTGAATAATTTAATGACCAGTATTGCACAAGGTAGGAGATTTACCCTACTCAGAAATATTTGACTTACCGAGTATAGTGATTTGCACCATGCTTAGGAATTAAATAATGGTAGGAACTACAAATGAATCTCCACTGGCTTTATAGAGTAATAATCTAGCAGTCTTGATGATCCCTCTAGTTACGACTACCTCAGTTAAAAATCTCCAGCTGGCTCAAATATGAATGACTATCATTTACAAATATCCAAGTAATGAGGTTTACCTCGTTGGGCTTTTTCTCCTTGCTCTTATACATTGTAAACTAAGTTACATGGGTACGTGTACAGGTACGGGTGCGGGTATGGGTACGGGACAAAACAATTTTGTAAAAGGTAAGGTATAGGGACATGACAACATATAAATGAATATACATAATAAGTTACATGAGACCAGCATTATTTTTTTCATTTCACATGCTAGGAAATAAAATTCCCACAAAATTTATATGTTTCTTTTATAATATAGATCAGAAAATTGCTTGTCTTTTAACTTGACATCTAAAAGACCCTTCATAATCTTAGAGCATGTTTGGTAACTTTGGATTATAATGTTTGGCTTATAATCTACAAATGCCTTATAGTCAAGTGGATTATAATCCAAAGTGTTTGGTAAATTTAGTGCATTATAATCCATTTTTAATGGTAGATTGTTTGGCAAATGAGTAACCTATAATCCATCCTTGTTGTCAAAATGACCAAAAAAGGATTGAAGATAGAGAAAGAGGGCGTTGATTTTTTTTTTTAAATGCCAAGGGGTAAAGTAGTCTTTTTTTGTTAAACTTTGTGGCTTATAAGCCACCAAAAGAATAAGGTGGGTTGCCCTAACTTATTTTTTTGTCTTATAAGTCAAGATAACTTGTTTGCCAAACATGTTTTATTGGCTTATAAGCCACAAAAGTGGCTTATATGCCATTTTGACCCGTTGCCAAACATGCTCTTAATTTTGAACTAGGTACGAACTGAATTCAATCCAACTTATGTCCAAAGTTTATCAAGAATTGCATGTAAAATGTGGAATATACGTCCAAGAAGTATATGCTAGGTACTTTAACTAAAAACATGTATTGTATAATTGAATACACATTTGAATAAGTGCATGCAAATATTTAAGAAGTGTCCACTAAAGTTTTGGAGTTGACTGCGGGTATGAGTATGACACTGATAGGACACACATATGGGTCTAAATATAAGTATCCATGCAACTAAGCTTGTGAATCAATCAATTGATGCCAAAAAAACAATAAAACCTCATATTTACTTGCGAGCTCTAAATAACACTATAAAATGAATTGTGATCTAATATGCTGGTGTCATTTTCATAACCATTAAAACGATAGAATTTGTGAAATAATGTATTAAAGGACTAGTCGAGATTAAATTAGTCTAAATTTGGAAATAACAGCCAGGTTATCTGCACTTTAGCTAGTTGGAAGAATGATAAAGGTGGTGGTAATGTGAAGGAGGCTATGCAATACCTTCCCTTTTTGTATATAATCACTTATTACAACTAGCTACTCAAATAAAAAAGTACATTGGATATGTTGAAAGAGTTGTTTATTCCTTGTTGTTGATTCCTACAATGGTTAGGGACAAACTCATTTATTTCTCTAAACACTATAAATAACATCTAATAGATAGCTAATGATCTCTCTAGGATTTTGACATTAACATGGCTTCAGATTCAGCCTCTCTCCTCTCTCTAATTTTCTAAACCCTAACCGCCACCCTCTCAAACCCTATCTGCCACCTTCTACCCTCCTAAACCCTAGCCGCCACCTTCAATCTCTCTCAAACCCTAGCCGCACCCACCAACATCAAACTCTATTCTAGTCGCGTCAATAAGAGGGTTAGTAATACGTTTGATTTAGTGCATTCAGACGTATAGGGGCCTTGTTCTATTCCATCTAAACTCGATTTTAATATTTTGTTAGTTTTTTGGATGATGTTTCTCTCATGACTTGGATATACTTGCTGAAAAACTGTTCTGAAGTGTTATTTATTTTTAGAGATTTCTATGCAAAGATTAAAAATCAATCTCATAATACAATTAAAACTTAAACTAATAACGCTAAGGAATATTTTGGTGGCTCCTTCACAAAATATTCGGAAGACAATCGAATTTTACATTAGTCATGTTGTACTTACACACCCTAACAAAATGGGGTGGCTGAACGGAACAGACACTTGTTAGAAATTACTAGGACCTTGTTATTCTATCATCAAGTTCCAAAATATTTTTAGGAGGACATCATTTAATGCCTGCTACCTAATCAATAGATTTCCCTCCTCTGTCTTACAGAACAAAACTCCAATCTCTCTTTTATATCCAGCTGAAAACGTTTTTCATTTACCTCTTAAGATCTTTGAGTCTCTATACTTTATTCACAATCATAGTCCTCAGTGGATGAAATTAGATACGAAATCTTTTAGAGGCATTTTTCTTGGATATTCTAGGACTCAAAAATAGTATAGATGTTATTGCCTCTCCTTAAATCGATATATTATTTCAGCAAATGTTATCTTCTTTGAGAACAAATCAGGACATGTTGCCTTTGATAAATGCTTAGACCCTCCCAATGATTATGACTACCTTATCATTCGGAAAACTACTATCAATGTTCCTTCCAAGACTACTACACAATCTTATCTACCATTCAAGTTTGCGAAATCAGTTTAGGTTTATACAAGATGTACTGCTCCGCAACTTGAACCATCATCTAAATCCACCCAAGAGCCTGATATACTAGCAAGTTAAAATGTGTCCGTACAACCAAGTGCTTAGCTTACTGATAATCTTTTCATTGCCCTCTAAAATGGTAAGAGATCTTGTCCTCAAAGTTCTCTGTATCGTCTTACACATTATGTCTTATTCTTTGTCTCTATCATATTATTATTTCATATCTTCTTTGGATTCTCACCCGGTCCCAAGACTATGTTAGAAGCTCTATCTAACCCATGTTGGACGGCGACATGCAATAAGAGATGATGACCTTAGGGTGAAATGAGACTTGAGATTTTGTTTCACTATCATTAGGGAAGAAAGCGGTTGGCTACAATGGGTTTATACTGTAGAAGTAAATCTAGATGGCTCTTTAGCCCGCCTCAAAGCTCGACTAGTTGCAAAGAAATATTCACAGATTCATAGTCTTGATAAATCGATACATTCTCTCCTGTAGCTAAGATAGCATATATCCGCATTCTTATCTCGCTTGTTGCTCACTACTACTGGCCACTACATCTGTAAGAATGCATTTTTAATGGCATTCTTGATGAGGAGGTTTATATGGAGCAACCAAAGTTTTGCTATTTAGGGGAAGTGTGGCAAAGTTTGCATGTTGAAAAATCCTTCTACGGCTTGAAGCAATCTTTGAGGGCTTGATTCGAACATTTTGCAGCAGTTGTCTAGACTTTTGGTCTTCATCGAGCTCAAAAAGACCACTCGATTTTATGTAGATTTCATGGTGGGAAGTAGATCCTTTTGGTTGTATATGTTGACAACATTGTCATCATCGATGACGCTGCACAAGGCAATAATAATTTGAATAAGTATCTACAATAACAATTTCAAAAAAGACCTTGGATCTTTAAGATATTTTCTGGGCATCGAGGTAGCTCGATCAAAGAAGGAAATTCTCTTATCTTAGAGAAAATATGTGCTTGATATATTGCTAAATATTAGGATGTCAGAATACAAGAGTATTGACTCGCTTATGGATGATAAGGTCAAGTTACTATCAGCTCAGGGGGAGTTACTAGAGGATACTAAAGAATATAGATGACTTGTAGCGAAATTAAACTACGTAATAGTTGCGAGACTAGATATTGTATTTTTTGTTAGTGTAGTTAGTCAATTTCTCTCAGCACCTAAGAAACCTCATATGAAAACAATGAAGAGGATTCTTAGGTATCTTAAAAAATTCTAAGAAATGGAGTACTCTATTCAGATAACAGTCACCCAAGAGTTGCAGGATTCTTAGATGTAGATTGGACAGGATCTCTTAAGAACAGATGGTCAACTACTGGATATTGTGTATTTCTTGAAGGAAATTGTATATCATGGAAGAGTAAGAAACAAAGTGTAGTCTCTCGATCTACAGTTGAGTCGGAGTACCAAGCCATGGCGAATTTGAGTTGCGAGCTGAGCTGGGTTAGAGATACATCAACACAGATTAGTTATCCTCCGGAGTGTCACATGAGCTTGTATGAAGATAACAAGGCTACCATTAACAAACCTGAGAACTCAGTGTTTCATGAGAGGACAAAACACACACAGATTGATTGCCACTTGATTTGTGAGAAGATGGAGGAGGAAATCATTAGAGCCAAGCACACACCATCAGAATATTAATTCGAGAGAAGATGGAGGAGGAAATCATTAGAGCCAAGCACACACCATCAGAACATCAACTTGCAGATATACTCACAAAAAAACTTGGGAGAACAAGAGTGAATTTTATTTGTAACAAGCTGGGCATGTACGATATGTATGCTCAGTTTGAGAGAAAGTGTTGAGAGAATTATTTATTCATTATTGTTTAATCTCACATTGGTTAGGGACAGACTCTTTTATTTCTCTAAATACTATAAATAACATCCAAAAATCCGTTGTTTCTCTAAACATTATAAATAACATCCAAAAGAGGGCTAATGATCTCTCTAGGGTTTTCACATTAACATGATAGTTGCATTACAACTTGAAGACATGATCACTGAAACAACTTCATAAGAGCTCTATTACAGTAGTACAAAGAAAAGTGACTATCCCTATTATCTATATGAACATTTTAATTATCAACAAGAGATATTGTAATTTACAAACAGTCCCTGTATGAGACAGAAAATTTCTCTAGACACAAAAGAGTTGTGGTCCTTTGCATTTATAGTTAAATCAGAAAGCAACAGTACATTGGTGAATCATAGCGGCAAGAGGAACTTGAAATCAGCATGGTTACCTTGATATCTAGCACGCTCCGAAGCTTCCTTCTGACACAGCAGGTGTAACAGCAGCAGGAGAATATTAGTGAATATGCAAACAGGTCATTACAAGCTTCTGATGAGGCTGAGCATTGAATATGAATTTAGTTAAAAATCGTAAAAATAAAATTGCGAAGCTTCTGAGTTGATATAAATATATGCAATTAATGTTTTATATACCCACTCGTAGTATAAGTTAAATAATAATGGGGTTGATGCTTCATAAGATAATTTGGCATTCCAGCTCAGTTTTGTCTTCAGGTCTCTATTCAACAAGCAAAGAAGTAATGCTTCGAACATCACTTTTGTTTTAGTATTTCCTCCATATCTCATTGTTAAAAGCAAGATAAGAACAAAACACTACAACTTAACGTGAACTACAATTTTTTATACTATCTGTTGATTCTTATTTTGTTGTTTATTGCTTCTGGCAGTTAATATATATTGATTATCTGCTTTAGTCACTTTGACCGATTCCTAAAAATACAACTGAGAAAACTACTGAGATAAATATATGCTGAAGAAACGCCAAAGCATCTAAAGAGGCATAAGCAAAGAAAAACTTAATAGCTAGTATAAAGTATAAACTTAGCTTGATTCAGCTCCAAGGTCTACAGAATGCATAATGTGTTTGAATTAAATTGAAGAAGCTTTATTGGAAGCAAAAGTCATTGAAAGCTTGAAACATGAAGCTCAGACTCTCCTTTTTATCTGAGTTAGCATGAAGATTTTAATTGTTAATGGTATTAACAGATATTATGTAGTTTAAGCTACTTGAAAATGTATATTCAGTTATTGAGCTAACTTAACTGCACCTTGTACCATCCTATTCCTAGGGCTTTCTACTGCTCCTTTAAAAATAAAGCTAAGCTAAAAAAGATACACAGAATGAAGGGGAAAAGAAACAAGCTAATAGAAAATAGTCAAACAACACTGAAGAATCAATTCCCATTTCACTTACATATCTGTTTGTTTTTGGCCACCGAAGCAATTTTTGAAAATGTTCCACATGGGTAGAAAAATGTCTTTATACCTGCAAGATATCGTTAATGATATCAGTAAAAGCACTTTAGCTTCTCACTGCGAGATAAGCATAATCGGTAAAGAGGCCTGGAATCCGATAGAAATGAAGGTTACACAAAGAAAGCTCTGATCTATAAACGATAAGTTAACACAGTTATATGCATTTAGATAGAATGGTGTTACACCATTACTTCTCCACTGCACCTATAATGAGTATTGAGTGCAAATAACCCAAGGACAGGAGGTTTTTATCAGGTCACTAGTCTGTACACAGTCTGACTTCGCCTACACCAAATTATGTAGTATGTAGATCTCATTTAGAATAAACTTATAATACTACTAAAAGAATTTACTCTGTTGGAGTCGGACAGGCGAAAATATTACTCGGGATGCATGACATCAAGTTTACTTGACACGACATATGACTATACTGCATAAATTTTCATTCATTAACATTTTTCACCCCAAGTCATACCATAAAATGCCTAAACATATTCTAATTGATTTCTGCAAATGAAATATGTGTGTTTGTGTGTGCAAGCACACCAGGCAATAGGTCTCTAATGATAAAGATAGTTTGAATGGATATGCTAACAAAACAACTAGAAGTAGCATAAGTACTAAAACCAAGAATATAATTGCAAATAGGAGCAACAGTGATAACTAAAGAACATGTATAATTGAATATCTCAGAGACTAAAAGATAGTCAAGTTTATAGATAAGATAAAGGAAGATTAACTTAGATCATACTATTGACTTACATAAACAAGGCTCGGAGCAGCAACCAAGTAAATCTGCATGCCAGTCCTCATATCTATGTGATCCTCTGATTGAAATCAACTCATGACCTGAAGAAACTGTAGAAACACTTCTGCATGGAGTTGATGAATGGGGTGAGAATTATCCTTTTTAATAATACAAAGGGGATATCAGATATGATATAAGTTTTCAGCAAAATAAGCAACCAAGAGATAGGAGCAGTCAGGTCTATCTGCTCCAATGTGACTAGCAAGATGGACCCCACCCGCACTCTATCTTTTGACAACCTTCTAGTGGACTGAGCTACCACCTCATTCACGTGTTTTCATATATGATATATATACACACACACATATACAGACATGGTAGTTAAAAAAGATGAAATTGTGATTGTAGGATAAGTACAACCAAATACTACAAGTGTTCTATACTGGACCCTGGTAAAACTGATATTATTTGATTACCGTAACACATATAAGAACACAGTGTCACAGACATTACTAATTAGATGAACAAAAATATATAAAGCAGGAAGAAATAGATTTTTGAGTGCATTGGTAAAAAAACAAAATGTAAGCGAATATATTCATAATAATAAATTAAACTAAACGCTGTTGAAATTCAGTAAATGGTATTGGATGCATTTAACTAACCTTGATACTGCATCATTATCACTTTTCTGCCCATGATAGCTTCCGTCATAGGAATAATTAGTTGAATCTGAATAATTTCTCTCAACTTGCTTGGAGTCCTTAGCTTCTATATTATCCTCTGTTATAGTATAAGCTAGTGCTTCTGTTACTCCAATCAGACGTTGAATCACTTCACATTGACCAACATCCATGTCACATTGTGACATTTGTAGTTCTAACTGAAGCTTCTCATTTTCTTTTTGAAGTGCTTCATTAAAGGGCAACTTAGGATATGAACAGGAAAGAGTCTTTTTCAGCACCTGCTTCTGAAAACTGCAAGGATCAGGATTCAGTATGACATCTTGTAGCTTCTTGTCCTCTTCATCAAGAGTGTATTCACATTCATCCCTTTCAATATACTCCAGTCTTTCCTAAGAAATAAAGGTGGAGAATAAGTATCACTAAGAGCAACATCCTTGCGCAAATACGCAAATATCTGGATGACGAAGATATAAAGCTTGGATATGCTGAATGACGATAGAATGAAAAATTAGATAAATGAATATATAGATAGATCCTTTCGAAATCTGACATTGAAGGGCTTAAAATAAAAAATATATATCAAATTTACCAGGTCGAATGGATATCCACTAATCCAGCATATTTGGCATGTGTATCATCTAATCATACAATTTCTAAGCATTCATATTTTTCAAACATTTAATGTTGATCCTAAGTCAAAAACATAAAACTCAATTAAAAAAGGATATCATGTCAAAGTTATGGAGCAACACTCTAAAGTAAATCACACTTCCATTATTAGGAAAATTAAATGTAGCGCACAAACACCTAATTTCTCACGAAAGATAAAAAAAAGCATAGTGAATCAATATACTGCACAAATTCCTTACCCTGACCCTCGCATTATCGACGAGCGTTATCAAAGGCACAAGCCTCAGATACCTATCAATCTCATTCTGGGCTTTTCGGAACTGGTACACAATGTTCCATCCCATAGCCAAAAGGTAAAGATAGCTTCGATCCTGGCAGCTATTAACAAGAACATAGGATCTCCTCAGTGCATCCTCAAGCTGCTCAAGAGGCTCTCTTGTCTCTGGATACCTCTTAAGCTCTGAAATCTTTAGCTGCTCCAATAAATTCCCTATAAGCTTCAAATGCTGAGCAAATTGCCTGCAGTTCTTCTTGTGCATTCTCGCCGTGGCCGCGGCTTTCACTATCATCCCGATGAGCCTCACGGCGTCGACGCCGGTGAACTGGGCTATATTTGCCATGTCTCCTAAAGCAGCCATGGGGTCAAGATTGGATCTTTCCCCTCTTTCTGGACTTCTCTTTGCTAAAATTGAAATGGGTCTTTTGAGGATTTCAAGAACCTTTTAGCTCGTTGCTTGCAAGCTTCTTGCTTTCTCTTTAGGGGCTAAAGGCGTTTGCTTCAGAGAGCGGAGAGGAAAGGAAAATGCGGAAGCAAGAGAGTTGAGTTTTGAGAGGGACAATCAGGATTTCGACAAGTTGAAGCTTGAATTCTATTGCAGTTTACAGAGTGGAGGAGGCTGGATTAAGCTTTTTTTGGGGCTTGGGAATATTCAGGGTTTTGCTTTGTTAGTTGCTAGCATTGTATTTTTTAGAGAATGTTTTGTTTGGATTCGAAGAGGACTGAAGACTCTATCAGTTGTTAACTTGAGCTTTCCTCTCTGTTCTGCTTTGGTCCCCACTAACAGAGACTCTGCCGCAGTGAAGTAATGCGAAGCTATTTGTCTTCTTGTCTTTTTTTTTTTTTACTGCTTAGTAGGGTAAAATCTCAATTGAGACATGTCTTAAAATGATAGTAATAGTAGTCTGGTGACGAAATTTCATGGATTAATTACATTTAGATACCCTAAACTACGGCGTGATTGCATCGGTAATCCTAGAATCTGCATATCTGTATGGGTAACCTAACACTGAGATTAGTTAGTGTAATTATACTAGTGATCTTGGAGTCTTTCTATTTTGTTTTTGTTCAAGATTTTAACATTGTTTGTATAGTTAAAATAAATAAATGATCTCAGAGCCACGACATTAGTACGCCTAGCGATTGAGTTGAATTGGTTCCAATCTAACTCGATCCGGCGCGTTTAGATTGGGACTTGGATCACATTTTTTTAGTCAAACTCGACCTAGATTTTTCAGTCGAATACTCAAATGGATTCAGTTTGAGGTTAAAATATGCTCGATCGAATGAATTATATTCTCATAAATATTTAACTCTTCACCTTTTGAAGTAATACAATTTTTCGGAGATAATAGGATGGGAAATAAATTCCCAGCCTTTGCTCATAAAGAAAAAAAAAAGTGGTTCTACATATTAGGTCATACTTCCAATTTTGAGGGGAATATATAATATCTTTTTCTAGGAGAGTAGTCACATATTTATAATTCTTTAACTTATTTTGACTCTCATCACAGGAAAAATCACAACCGTCCCCTTTAAACAATAGAGAAATATAGTCAAAGATGATCTCCTTGTTTCTTTTTGACGGTGAAGAGGAATCTAAACGGAAATGATTTTTGTCACGCGAGATGGGTGCGTGATCCCGTCTCGCGTGACAAATAGAAGGACTCGAATCTAAAATATAACGGACTGTCCTTTGTCGAAGGGTTGAACTCCTGTAGTTTCTTTATTGCAAACAGGCCCCCTTTTTTTTTACTCCTTTACTCTCATATAGGCTCAGTAATTTTACCCGCAGGCAATATTTAACAAAATTTTACCCAGAGTCTATCTGCTGCGATGAAGCTACTGGGGGACCGGCTTAGTAGGTTGAAATTAACAATAATACAGGGAGCTTAATTATGTGCAGCCTAACCCAAAATACATTTATTATCCTCTAAGCAATGGTTAGTGGACAAATCTAGTTAATGTTAACACATCGGTAACTAGAAACTCAACTTCCATGTGGGCCCCTTTTCTGCAACTAACGGCATTAGTTAAGACAACGACAAGCAGCCAGACTCCCTCTTTTTTACTGTGAGTTTGGTGCAGGTTTCACGCCGAAGGAAGAAGGTTGACCAGCGATCTTTAACACCCAAAACATTATAAAAATTGGTCACCTGGTTGAAGTCGTGGGCACTGGCTATTTGTGCTGCACGTGATTCCCATCAGCAATGCAATAATTAATAAGATGAAAAGGTTATGACCTTTTTCCAATATGGGGGCAGCTGTAGAAGGTAATATTAGTTATCCTTTAATACTAATATATAAACATATACAGCAACAATGAGTGTAAATGTTAAAAAAAAAAAGGGAAAATTGCTTGGGGGAACCAAATTAAATTGGCTCATTCATCCCCACCCTCAGTTCAAGAACCATAACCCAAAAATTCTTAAACCGAAAAAGTAGTGCAAGCAACCCCCAAGTACTGTGTAAACCCACTACCCAATAAATCCATTCCCAATTTACCCTTCCCCATTTAATACTCCCAGATCTCATTTCTCCTTGAGCTAACCCCATGACCTCCCTCTCCCCCAACACGGCAAGCCCTCATCCCCCGCCTCCGGCGAGGTCCACATCATCTGCGTAGACGGCCGCGACGACGACGACGTCATCCTCGCCGGCGCCACTCTCTGTCGCACACCGTCCGAGACATCTCCGGCGATCAAAAAGCCTGGATCGCCGACTTCTTCGACGTCGCCGCAGGATCCGGCGTCGGCGGAGTCCTTGACTCCATGTTGTTCACTGGAGGCCCCGACGGCCGCCCATTCTTCTCCGCCGCCGACGTCGGAGACCTCCTCTCCAAGAACCCTAGCTTCCTCTCAAGGCGGAGCGATTCTTCAACGCCAGCAGCCGCCCAACATTGAAACGTGTTCAGGGATCGCCCAACATTCTAAATTTAGTAATTTGAACAGAATGATTTTTTATGATTTGCAGTGTATTAGAATAATTTGGTCAACGGGTTATCAATTGATCTTTCTAAAAGTTAAATAGAAATAATTACTAGCCAGATTTTCTTGTTCTTGTTGGCATTGAATATTGGATTGGTACTTCTTGCCTCTGAGATTATTTGTATTCCTGCCTCTGTTTATCACTCGTCTGGATTTAATCTGTGTAAATCTATATTATAGTTTTTATTTTAGAAAAAATAATAATTTTGAATAATTAGTTTATAGCGCCAAGTTTGCCAACTATATATTAACCCCTTCTGCTCCTTGTAGGAGATGACCTTGGAAGAGTATGAGAAAATAAAGGAGGACGACGGGATCGCCTTTCGTCTTCTCGACGGCCGACGCGACGGAGGCGAACAACTACGATTTCGAGGTCGGCGACGTCTGTAGGGCTGCCACGCGTGCCGACTTCTTCAGTTTGTTAGTGATGTTTCTGCTTGAACTATGTATAAGATATGTAATATAGTTGTGAGAAAGGTTTTTTTTTAAATATAAGTAAGGTTCCTCTTTTTTATTGTGTTTGTTGATTGAACGAGCTCTCTTGAATATGTGATGTTTGAGAAAATGCCTATAAGATAGAGTGATGTGTTTTTTAGTTGGGCACAATTTTTATGAATGTAAGGTGTTTGAGAAAATGTGTACGATATGGAACACCAATATGCATGTAATAGAGGAATGGTATGCTGGCAATGGAAGTAGTTGCTAAATGTTAGTGGTTTCTGATGTGGTTTCTGAAGAATGGTTTTGTGTTTGTAACTTCATGATGTATTTTTTGTTTGATGGGTTGAAATCCTTTGTAAGGATGATTTTGATCCAATTAGAGTTCAATTTGGGAGTGTTGTTATGTTTCTTAGTTATTCAAGGTTAAATGGAAAAATGAGGGAACATATATGCATGCACAATTAACCGTAAATGTGACAAATAAGCATATCATGTGATATTTTAATGTTATATGTGGCAATTCAATCGTACATGTGACAGTTCTACCTTATATGTGATATTTAGATCTGATTTGTGATATTTGGGTGTTGTATGTGATATTTAGGTGTTGTATGTGATATTTGAGTGTTGCTTGTGACATTTGTGGTTTATACGTGATATTTGTGTGTTGTATGTGATATTTGAGTGTTGATTGTGACATTTGTTGTTTATACGTGATATTTGGGCGTTGTATGTGATATTTGAGTGTTGTATGTGATATTTGAGTGTTGCTTGTGACATTTGTGGTTTATACGTGACATTTGTGTGTTGTATGTGATATTTGAGTGTTGATTATGACATTTATTGTTTATACGTGATATTTGGGTGTTGTATGTGATATTTGTTGTGGTTATGTGATATTTGGGTGTTGTATATGATATTTGGGTGTTGTATGCAATATTTGAGTGTTGTTTGTGCATTTGTTGTTTATATGTGATATTTGGGTGTTGTATGTGATATTTGGGTGTTGCTTACATTAGAAAGACTGCAAATGAAAGTTACCACAAATGAAAGTTACTAAACAAGTTTTACATCTTGGTATTATAAATCAGAAAATTCTCATAAAAATTCACAGTCATGGATGAACCTTATGAGATGATCCTAATCGAGGAATCAGAGAGGATCCCAAACGACAATAGCAAGTGACTCGTCTCATGTGTGACATTTACTCATCTCATGTGGAATGACTATTAGATGTGACTTATATATTTTGTATGTGATATTTGGGTGTTGCTTGTAACATATGTTGTTTATACGTGACACATGACTGTAATTTATAATATTTGGCTGTCATTTATTGATAGTGAATGTGTCATGTATAAACAACAAATGTCACAACCAACACTCAAAAATTACATACAACACACAAATATCACGTATAAACCACAAATATCACAAGCAACACTCAAATATCACATACAACACCCAAATATCACGTATAAACAACAAATGTCACAATCAACATTCAAATATCACATACAACACACAAATGTCATGTATAATCCACAAATGTCACAAGCAACACTCAAATATCACATACAACACTCAAATATCACATACAACACCCAAATATCACGTATAAACAATAAATGTCATAATCAACACTCAAATATCACATACAACACACAAATGTCACGTATAAACCACAAATGTCACAAGCAACACTCAAATATCACATACAACACCCAAATATCACAAATCAGATCTAAATATCACATATAAGGTAGAACTGTCACATGTACGATTGAATTGCCACATATAACATTAAAACTCTAATTGGATCAAAATCATCCTTACAAAGGATTTTAACCCATCAAACAAAAATACATCAGGAAGTTACAAACACAAAACCATTCTTCAGAAACCACATCAGAAACCACTAACATTTAGCAACTACTTCCATTGCCAGCATATCATTCCTCTATTACATGCATATTGGTGTTCCATATCGTACACATTTTCTCAAACACCTTACATTCATAAAAATTGTGCCCAACTAAAAAACACATCACTCTATCTCATAGGCATTTTCTCAAACATCACATATTCAAGAGAGCTCATTCAATCAACAAAAACAACTAAAAAGAGGAACCTTACTTACATTTAAACAAAAAAAACCTTTCTCACAACTATATTACATATCTTATACATAGTTCAAGCAGAAACATCACTAACAAACTGAAGAAGTCGGCACGCGTGGCAGCCCTACAAACGTCGCCGACCTCGAAATCGTAGTTGTTCGCCTCCGTCGCATCGGCCGTCAAGAAGACGAAAGGCGATCCCGTCGTCCTCCTTTATTTTCTCATACTCTTCCAAGGTCATCTCCTACAAGGAGCAGAAGGGGTTAATATATAGTTGGCAACCTTGGCGCTATAAACTAGTTATTCAAAATTATTATTTTTTCTAAAATAAAAACTATAATATAGATTTACACAGATTAAATCCAGACGAGTGATAAACATAGGCAGGAATACAAATAATCTCAGAGGCAAGAAGTACCAATCCAATATTCAATGCCAACAAGAACAAGAAAATCTGGCTAGTAATTATTTCTATTTAACTTTTAGAAAGATCAATTGATAACCCGTTGACCAAATTATTCTAATACACTGCAAATCATAAAAAATCATTCTGTTCAAATTACTAAATTTAGAATGTTGGGCGATCCCTGAACAAAAATCATTCTGTTCAAATTACTAAATTTAGAATGTTGGGCGATCCCTGAACACGTTTCAATGTTGGGCGACTGCTGGCGTTGAAGAATCGCTCCGCCTTGAGAGGAAGCTAGGGTTCTTGGAGAGGAGGTCTCCGACGTCGGCGGCGGAGAAGAATGGGCGGCCGTCGGGGCCTCCAGTGAACAACATGGAGTCAAGGACTCCGCCGGCGCCGGATCCTGCGGCGACGTCAAAGAAGTCGGCGATCGAGGCTTTTTGATTGCCGGAGATGTCTCGGAGGGTGTGCGACAGAGAGTGGCGCCGGCGAGGATGACGTCGTCGTCGTCGTGGCCGTCTACGCAGATGATGTGGACCTCGCCGGAGGCGGAGGATGAGGGCTTGCCGTGTTGGGGGAGGGGGAGGTCTTGGGGTCAGCTCAAGGAGAAATGGGATCTGGGAGTATTAAATGGGGAAGGGTAAATTGGGAATGGATTTATTGGGTAGTGGGTTTACACAGTACTTGGGGGTTGCTTGCATTACTTTTTCGGTTTAAGAATTTTTGGGTTATGGTTCTTGAACTGAGGGTGGGGATGAATGAGTCAATTTAATTTGGTTCCCCAAAACAATTTTCCCAAAAAAAAATGATAATGATAATGAAAAAAACAAGGGGTGCAGCCTGCACGGCTGTAGCTATAGGGGGCCCAGACCCAGGTTTAAAGTATGCGGCACAATCTAATTTCATTTTCTTATACACGATTGAAACTGTAGCCTTCACTCATTATATTTACTTCTATTTTAAGTTTAGAAAAAGAAAGAGACAATTGTTGCGAGAACGTCTTTGAAACGATGCTTAATTAGTTACTAAAGACGACAAATCGAAGCGTCCGTTATGATTTCTTCAAACACTTTGGCCAAGTTCATCTGATAAAGAGAGGAGAGGAAGAAAAGAAAGAAAACAAGAGGTGAACTTATTTATAAACCATCGCACGTATAAAAAAGAAAAGGCAGATTAACTTTATTATACAAGAGGACAGCATTGGAGGTCACGGGTGGCTAATCATGCGTGCCAGCCTCCCTCGGTTTTGGCAGCTTGCGAGTAACCTACACGAGTCTAATATACTTGGTTAATGGGGACGTATGCATGTGATTAAGGCGTGGAAAAATTAAGAGCATCAAATGATCTGTATAGATAACCCTTCGTGCTTGTTAGAAAACTGGATGTAATTTCAAACAACCTGCTTAGTACCATTCATGTCACTTGGTAAGCATTCACATCACTGTCTGGTATGAAGGTGAGTTGTTTGAAAAAGAAAAGAAAAAACTAACAATAATCATTAATTAGTAGCTCCGTAAGTCTGAGTATGGGATGACCGTCTGAAATTTTATAAGAATTCGAAGCTTTTGCCATAGAGTTTTTTTTTTTGTACGTACCGGTCTTCTATGTTTCGGAACTCAGCCAATTGCAGTGTTTTCCCTGAACACCGAACGCGTGATTATGCATACAAAGGACCGATGCCGGTATGAACAAAGTCATGATGAGCTTATGGCGAGAGAGTGATGATGCTTTAAGCACAAGGATCGGACGTTCAAATTTGAACTACAATACCGATCAAGTTCTTTTCTAAAAAAGGTCCGTAGGCGTGTAATACAAATCATAAACAGCAGATGAAAAAGGTTTCAAATATCAATGGCCTGCAAATAAGACGCTGCTTTATGGAATTCAACCATCAGAATGAGGACCTGCATCAGATCCATCAAACCGTACCCCATGATGCTGTGTGAATATCAGTCAGTAAGCTGACCGCTGGGCTGCCTGATATGCACAGGGATACGTGATGTGCTCTATATAAAGTAAACCCTGTAATGTTTCTTCAAAGAGTTTGTAAAAAAAGAAAAATATGGAATGTCAATGAACAAGCGAAAACGCACAAAAATTACAGTAAAGGGTACAGGAACTGCAGCTGTAATCAAAAGCACTGAAATAATGGTTCATTGAGATAGACCCCCTGTAATATGCCCAGTTGTGGACGTCCCGCTGTAATTCTATTGTTGTAGATAGACCCGGAGTGATTTACCTGCAACAGCAAACCTCCTGATGAGGGTAAATGAGTCAAAAAAAAAATCTCTCAGTGGTTTACCTGCAACAGCAAAACTACTGGCGTCTACCCGCGATTGGGTGATAATACAAGCGGTCTGACCGCAGTTAACCCTTGGAATAACTTTGTATGTGTTCAAAAATTCAGTCCTTTTTTAGCACAATTATAGAGTTACAAAAATGAATTCGAGAAAAAAATCAGGAAAACAAATATGATTGGGAGCAAAGAGATCGCAACCCAACACTAACCTTCTGATAGACTTATATATCAAATGTAAGTTAACTTGTTTCCTCCAACATCAGTTGATTACATGAGCCAGCTTGAGCGGAACACCAATGCAGGAGAATGTTTCCTCCCGTCCGTTGCATAGAAAAGGCCCGGTTGCAAATTAAATCTCTTATCAAAATTAAAATTAAGAAACCCTTCCAACTGAAGCTGATTGAGATGACCTCCAATCTTTCCTCCCATTCTTAATCCCCATCCTAGTTCATCCTCTGGAATATCAGATAAAGAGGCACCCCACTGCAATAACTTGCTTGACTTCTGCAACTCAATCCAACCACTAAGATTGGTACTTTCATCTAATTGTGAGTCTAACATCAGCGCGATGGATCCTGATGAGATGCCATCTGCCTTTTTACTACGAGCAGAAGAAGATTCTTGCCCTTGTACCTCGGAGTTTTGCTGTTTCAAGTGGCCCGTTGGTATAGCAAGGGTACCAAACTTAAAAAGATAGGACAGTGGCTTATGCATTTGCATTAAACATGATAATGTGAACCTTGTTTCTTCAAATGGTTGGTAGCTAACTTGGCCAAAAGTGCTCAAGCTCCTACCAAAAGAAGCATCAGGTTGTGTTTGCATTCCAGAAACCAGCTCAGCTATAGAAGCTGCAATATTTGATCCGTGGACCTTGATCCCAGCACCACAATTGTAATGTTGATTGAATGAAGGGGGCAAAAATGAAGAGGCTTTACCCACGCGCCGACCCTGTGAAAAACTATAAATTGATAGCTTAGCCAAAATACGTGTTAATAGAATAATAGCACCCGCTTTAGTGTAAAACAAAATGAGCATTTGTAAAAGGCATTACCTGCTCAAAATTTGAAGCAGGTCCATATTCATTGCATTGAGCCCCCAAGGGAGACAAAGCCACAGACAGCCAGTGATTTAAATTTGCCAAATACATCAGCTTATCCAATGCTAGAGGACTTCGATAGATATTACCATGGTTGATCACACTGTTCGGACTAGCAGCAAACTCTGCTACCAGTAGATCTTTCTGTCTTACAGCTGTCTTAAAAATAAATCTCAAATCAACGCCTGTTCTTGTTCCTGCTGTATCCAAGGCATTATAAGCCAACTGATCATCATCCCACATAAACAGTAAAGCCCCAACCAAATCAATTATTCCCTCCATATGGGTGCTGGCCTCATGGAATGGGCCTCCTTTGCTAGTTTTATAGTAGGAAAGGATCCGTTCAGTTTTCTCCTGTCGCTCCCTCAGTTTCATCAGGTCAGAGAATGCTTCTCGCTGTAAACGCTTTAATATCTCAATCTGTGCAGGCAAAACTGAACCTCAAACACTGAAGTGGTAAGATAAAGAATGAACATTCAAAAGGTTAACCGTAGAAAGCTGAAAACAAAATGGAGCAGTGAGGTCATTTATACAGAATGAGTTCCCAGTATTGTACTTTCGAGTAAGCCTGTTGTCTGAAATACTTGGACAATTACTCGTTAACTATTGTTCTTAGATATGTTTCTTGTCTAAGAAAATCTCAATATAGATAGATAAAGCAAAAGAGTAGAAACTTGCATCAAACGCAAAAGCCAGAAGTAAAGAAAATAGAAGAAACACTATTTTCAGAATTATGATAAGCGCATCATGAACCAATACACAGCCTGCAAGGAATTAAAAAAGGAAAACAAATCCACTAAACAGTACATAGCAGTGTCCAGAAAATTATGTCAAGTACAATTTTATCATTTCCACCAAATTGTCAATAGTTATCTTAAAAGCATTGATCATAACATTTATCATTTTAAACCACCATGACCTGATCCAACAATAACAACTCAGATCATACAAGTATCTAATCATCCAGCATTGTTAATATCCTACTATTTAGTCGCAAAAACAGTATGGAGGGTATTCGACTTTTAATGACCATAAAATTTTTAGGGGAATGTGATCCTATTATCTTTTGTTTATTGTTTCAATATAAGTATCAATAGAAATATTTTCTTTAACCTTGCCCCTTCATCTAGAGTCCAGACTCTTTTCTAGTTTACAAGAATTTTCAATATAAGTATCTAATTTTTGGGCAATGTAAGTATCTAATTTTGGGGGTTGCTAAACTTAAAACTATATGATTAAAAAGGGGTTAATTAGCAACGTCCTGTCGATCTAGGGCAATTAACTCTTCCACGAACTTGACTATGAAATAATCACTCGCTTGAAGGGTAAAATGTTAGGTTGTAGATCATGAAGGTTTCAACTAGGAGTGCATACGATTCAGATACAGCTCTGATATGATACTTACTGTACCTATATTTGCTTGCCAATCACGGATACAGATATGGATACGCTCGGTAAGGGAAATTCATACCCATATCTACTAAAATCGGATATGGATACAAATATACATGCAGATATATAAGTAAATATACATGCAGACACAAAACAAATATGAGAAAACTAGATATTATTGAAAAGCATACAGTTCGTATGATACAAGAGACTTCGTTAATATGTTCTTTATATTTGAAAAAGCAAAGATTAGATCTCTTGGTCATCAAAATTAACCTCAGATTCATTAATCTAAAGATAAAATTTGTTACAATTGTATGGCTGACATATATTCAAATATTTCGATACGGACCCGAATATAGATTTTAGTAACAAAATCCGCATCTTAACGGCTATGGATAATTCCTTAGATACGAATATTTTTGTGCACCCCTAATTTCAACAATTCCTATTATGAAGACTTCTCATCCTTGACTGCAAATCTAATTGATAAAAAAAGACTTGCAATATGCCAATGGGGTTAAAAAAAGAAGATTGTGAAGTGTTTAGGGACTACATACTGTTGATAGATTAGGAATACATGGATGTAAAAAGAATCATAAATGTTAGAAATCTTTTGCTGACTGCTGCGGAAGGGGAAACTTTCCGGATTTGAATAACATAAGCAAGCATCCTCTATGAATATTCCACACTGATTGTAAGTTAAATGAATCATTTTTTTCTTCACTTACATCCTTTATGGACCACGTACTCTGAAAGTATAACAAGTATCACATTGTATTTTAACCATCTCAATCCGAATTTTTTTTTTCTTTTGTCAATGTGTATATAGGTGCCAGAAAGCAACAATGCTGGAGGATTTTTATTTCCCATAGATTGTAACACATTATTTGTTGTATCCAGCTTCTGCCTTAAACCTACTATCAGGAAATTGAATTGACCAGGTAAACTATACTAAACCCGCAAGAACTTACAGTGTTAGCAGTAAACCCCCAGTAACTTTCGAAATCACACTACATCATCAGTAACTTTTGCAGAAGACCCCTAGCAACTTTCAAAATCGCACTACACCCTCAGTAACTTTTGCAGAAAACCCCAATATCTTTTGGGTAAATCACACTAAACCCTCAATAACTTTCAAAATGCCTTTTTATGTTGTTTTTTGGTTCTAATTTATGGGGGTTATCTGCAAAATGTGGAAACTAATTGGGGATTTCCAGCAATTCCAAAAGGTTATTGGAAGTTTAATGCAAAACGCGGAAAGTGCCTCGGGGGTTTAGTGTAATTTACGCTGAATTGAGCATATGCACTGATGCATTCCTAATGTTAATTGTCTGATACAAAGTAGAGATCGATCAGTTCATTCCTAAAATTTGATATTCAAACCAGATTAAGTGAAGTTGCCGAGTGAATCTCTGGTTAACTGTCTCATGTAATTACAGTAATAAAAAAACAAATGGATCAAACTTTTCCTTGATCAACTTTTGACAAGATAAGAAAGCAGCAACTTAATTACTAACAATAAAATTGGGGAAAAGATACGATTTTGAAAGACAATAAGAGAGAGGAAAAGCTGAAGAATTAGCATTTACAGGGTCGTGGTCGGAGGAGATGGGGCACTTTGGGGTGCCGCCATTGACGAAGCGCTCGGCCGATTTCTTGGCGAAGCCCTTGATTTTGCCGATCGCTGAAGTTATGTGGTCCATGTCAAGGGATGAAGAATTAAAAGGACGATGAGTTGAAAACCCTAGGGATAGTTAGAATGGCTGCTACATGAAGCAGGCAAGCTTTGTGGATAAATTGGAGTTTTGGTTTTGGGGGTTTTATTATTTCAATTTTAGGGTTTTGGAGCAGAGGCGCGGGGTTATAAGGTCCGTTTGCTGTCCTCCTTTTTTTTCTTTTTTTTTTCTTTTCCCCCCTTTCTTGCTTCTGTTTTGTTTTGTTTTGTTTCCCCCTTTTACTGATCCCAAAAAATTTAGGAATTTGAAATAGGTAAGAAAAAGTTCTTATTTTGAAATAAGACAACATTTTATCGGTGACTATAACAAGATTTGGGAATAAACACCCAATAAATCCGGAGGGTTATATGAACACAAACCTCTCATCAAAATCGGAATAAACACCCAATAAATCCGGAGGGTTATATGAACACAAACCTCTCATCAAAATCAAAAACTAATAATCATGAAAAGGAGGGTTATATGAACACAAACCTCTCATCAAAATCAAAAACTAATAATCATGAAAACAAAAGAATTGATAAATTAAAAATTGTTTTCATATAAAAGATTTTAAAGCATAATTTTCAAAACCAAGAAAAAGAAAAAGAAAAATATTAAAAATTCTTGGTTTAAAATCAAGTTTGTTTTGGTACCCAAGTATTTTTGGTACCAAAAGATTTAGGAATATGACCCCTATCATTCAAGCTCAAAGCCCTTGAGTTATGAATCCTCTTAGGCATATGTGGTGCACTAACACGATCAAAACAATAATCGCTCAAATGACCCTTCTGATTGCAATTTGTGCAGTGAAAGAGATCCATTTATTTTTTTGGACCATTAGCTCGTGCACGGGAATCATTTGCAAATAAAGATTTTCTTTTAAAATTATTTTGCAAATGAGAAATATTCTTAAACAATGGTCTATTTGGAACATATTGCAATTTAGAAGCTTTTTGTATATCAAAACAAAATTTAGCAAGATGTCCAAACCTACCAAAAACATCACATTTAAAAGCATGTGGTCTACTAGAAGCATTTGGCAAACGAGATTTCTTTTTCAAATCAAAACAATATTCGGCCAAATGACCAAAACGACCACAATGATCACATCTATATACATGAGTATGCTTATGATGAACAATGGGTGCATGTGTGTGTACATGTGATGAAGAAGCTACATGAGATGCACAAGAAGCATTGGCATTATTATATTGGTGTGCATCATAGCAAAATTTAGCTAGATGGCCTTTACGGTCGCAAATAGAGCACTTATAAACTTTGCTATATATGTGTGCATGACGAGTGGATGATTTCTTAGACTTGGCACACATATCCATAAGCCTCTTATGATTATCAAAGCATATTTTCAAAGTTGAATCTAAAGATGAAATGCGATTATTCTATAAGTTCAAATCTTTATTTTTCATATATGCACTTTTAGAAGTAGAACATAAATAGTTATTTATAAAAGAAACAGTATCATTTTGTATGTTCTTTACTTCTAACATGACATTATCTTTTTCATGAGTTAACTTGGCAAAGTTTGAAAGCAAAAAATCATGATCCGATTTTAATTTTTTATTGTTTTCTTTAAGGATCATATTTTTATTAGAAATAATATCAAACTTAGAAGTTAAAGACTCATGATCGGATTTCAAATTTTCATGCTTGCTTTGTAAATTAATGAAATTATTTTGTAATTTCTTGTAGGCATGTAATAATTTATCACTAGCACAAGCAAGTTCATCACTATATAAATCATTATCGGGTTCGTACTCGCAAACCTTATTAGGGCTATCGCCTTGTGCTCGTGTGCATGAAGCTCCTTTAGAACTTGAAGCGGGATCCTCCAAAGCTTGTCGGATCACCTCCAAGTCTCCTTGATGCGCTTCTATGAATTTCCATAATGTATAAGCGCTATCAAAAGAATCAAGCTTGTTAGACATAAATGAATCAAATGCATTTAATAAAAATTCTAACATAAGCTTGTTCATAATAAACATCTTTTTATCATGTTTTCTCCACTTGGATTTCTCTAACGTGGGCACAATATAAGCACAATCAATTACTTCCCATAAATCGATATTTTTAGATTGAACAAATAATTTGAATCTAAAGCACCATTGAGCATAGGAGAAAATATTGAATTTAGGAGCAACACTAGAATCATAGCCTAAACAAGATGCATCATTCATATCCATAATTTGTAAAAATATACAAGCAAGATACAAATACAACTAAAATAAGATTAGCACAAAAAGATAACTTGGATCTTTAACTCAAGGTGGTTAGACCTTAAATCAAAGAGCACCAAGCTCTGATACCAATTGTTAGATCCTAGAAGGGGGGGTGATTAGGATCTTATGCTAATCTAATCCAATTTCAAGCTAATTAAAACTTATTAATAAGTTATCCTAGCAAGTATGAAATACAACATGATATGTGAGCTAGGATAAGTAATATGAATAATGAGATATATCCTACCAAAGAGATATACAATATGATATATATATAAGGATATGCAAACACAAGGGTAACATAAACAAATAAAATAGTGGATGAAATAAACAATGAGAGAAAGGCTATAAAGATGAACAAATATAAGTGCTAAGCCAAACTCAAACAAGCAATATGATCACGGAGTTCAGACCTTCCGTCCTACGTCTCTGCTCCCCACTCCTAGGGAGAAATTCACTATCACAATTGGGTTTTCTACGTTCACCCGAATAACGTTTACACCTCACACTCGGTTTTCTAGCTAACCGAAAACTTTACAATCAACACTCTTGCAATCACACTCTACACCCTCACAAGTGTTGGACCTAGCCGTGTCCCCCTCAAGTGCTCGGTTATAACCTCTCCCTAGGCTCGTCAACCAACGCCACTCCTCTTGAAACGATCCCCGACTCTCACCACACACTCCTCTCGGTGTACAAGTGTATTACAAAGTGATTCTCACGATTAGGTTCAAAGTAACTAGTGATTGTTCTCTAATATGAATGAGAGCACAATAAAAGCTCACACTCAAAGTTATAATTCTCACCAACCCAAAATATATTATGAATGCAAATACAATAAGCTCAAGTGGGTGTGTGTAACAATAAGATAAAATTAAATCTAAACTCAATATAAAACTAGCTTTAATAGAAATGATAATTAACAAATAATTAATAAATAAAAGCTAGAGTAGAGTTTAGAAAACTTCTCAATAGATGACAAGATAGAGAGACGAAGATTGAAGCCCAAACAAGAAGGTGATCTCCTCCACTTGTGAAAACTTCTTCATAAACCAAACAAACACTTTAGATAGAGCTGAGGAAAGAGTGGGTATTTATAGAAACCCCAAAGCCAAGAGAAAGCCAAGAAAAGACCAAAAAACCACTCAGGCAACGGTTCTGGAAACTAGCCATTAGAAAGCAATGATTTGTTCGGCGGTCGACCACGGTGATCGACCGGTAGCGCCGTTAGAGTCCAACGGTCACATCGGCGGTCGACCGTGATGGTCGACCGCAAAGAACAAAAAAGAAAAAGAACTGTTCTAGACAAGCGACGGTCGACCGCGGCGGTCGACCGCGAAAGTCTCTGAACTACGTACGGTCGACCGCCACGGTCGATCGGGAGCCAACAAAACAAATTCTGAGTTCAGAACTCATGGCGGTCGATCGTGGTGGTCGACCGCGAACTGATACTCAGGAAAACAGGTTTTGAAAGAGAAATGCTGATTTTAAAATACTGTTTAAAAATATCAAATAAATTCCAAAAAATGTAAAACTTTGGAGAATGATTGTAGACATGATAATAAATATGCTACAACGACTGGTTTCTAAAAAGGACTCCCCAAATGAAAAATATCATCATTTTACAAAATAGGCCAAAACATAAAAATGTAAACATATGAATTTTGACATTTAGGCTAAACCATGTTTTGAAACATTGGACAATAATTATGTAGACTTAATAAAATATGTATATGATTATTATTAAGTCCAAAAACTAAGAATACAATATTTTTACAAATACAATAGAAAATGAAACATATGAGTATGTATATGAAAATATATTTATTTCATATCTAAGTAGTTAAACCAAATCACAATAATAAATATGAAATGTGTAATTTCATATTTATAAACATAAAAACCAAAACTTGTGTTGTATATATATGACTACATATATATACAAGGAAACCAATAAAATGTGTGTGTATATAATATTGAGCTTAGAGTTTCTAACACACATAATATAAAACCTAAACTAGATTCCCAAGCCGATCTTGATCTTCAATAAGCTTGACTTGGTACACTATGCGGATGAAACTTGAACTTGATCTTTAACTTTGAATTGCAAGGGCTTCACTCCACAATTCTGCCAACCTCCATTGGATATGATCGTTGTGGCGCAATCCATCCAACCTCCAACACATTGTTTGCCTGGAATAAATACGAAAACACAAACACTAGACAAAAAAAATTAGAAGTAAATAGTTTGTTAAACATCATCAAAACAAGAATGCCAACATTTTCAAGTTTGAGGAGTTTCACCAAATTTTCGAAGTGTGAGAAAATTCTCTTTTTATTTTTTAGTTTTACATGTGAATGCATTTACAATGATTTTTATATGTGTTAGAGCATTTTCACGATTCCTTCGGGAGTTTTTACATAAAAATCATCTTAACGTTTGCCAAGATTATAACTTACTATTCTAGTTTTTTCTTTATCAAAACAATCTACATTTGCTAATATGTTCTCAATGTCACATTTTTTGATATTTTCTGTTTGAAAAAAAATCTAAAGTTTTTATTATACCCCACCTAATCTAACTCAACAGGGGTAAGGAGAGAAGAAGAAGAGGAAGGGGAGAAGAGAAGGAAGGTTGGCGACAACGGGGCTGATTGCGGGAGGGAGGAGGTCGGCGGCGAGAGTTGAGAGATAGGAGGAGGGGGAGGGAAGTGTGAATAGAGGAGGTGAGGAAGAAGGAGAGGGAGAAGAGGGGGATGTTAGTGTAAGTAGAGGAGAAGAGAAAAGGGGTTAAGATTTGGAGAAACTTTCAAAGTGGAGAAGATGAGTGAAGGAGGTGGAGGAGGATAGGGAGGAAAGTTAGTAGAAAGAAGAGAGGAGGTGGACAAGGAGGAGAGGTGAGAAGGAATGAGGGTTTGGAGAAACTCTAGAAG